GCGGCACCGTCTTTCGTAGATTCGGGATGATGTTAGGAGATCCTTCATTGTAGGGGGAGGTCGGAAAAAAAGAAATTTTTATAGTTCAGTAGTCTCTCATAAAAACGCTCTTACTCTGTGTCATATCTTAACAGCATTTTAGCAATCCGATGTCTAAATTGAGCCAGAAATATGTTCAACGATACCTTTTTCGAAAGCATTAAATAATGACTCCCAGCTCTAAACGAGAAACTTTTGGCTGGCAAAGTTGTATTGGGTTGGCTGAGAAAAATCTTGCTGGATCTCGAGGGCATTAGTTTGAAAACGATACATATACCAGAACCAGATAGACCGTGTATCATCTTGTGAACTAAACAAAGGTCAAATATATTACGTCTGGATTGAAGAGTTGATATTCCCAGATACTTGTTCCTTATTGCAGCTTTTTGGTATTTTGTCATAGAGGAAACCATTGAGTCGAATTAGCAATTTGCGAGTGAAATTATTCTGATCGTTCTTGATTCCTAGTAGATAATTCATAGAAGATTTGAAATATACGAGTATGGGCTTGAGTTAGAAACAAAATAATGGGATAAATGGAAGAAGAGCTCACAATCAGAGAGATAACCGCTGAAAGGGGAGACCCATGGCGATGAATGTGGCGGCCTCTGCTAGCGGAGAGAACTAGGTTGAACTAGAAGTAATGTCTGCACGATTCATTGAGCCACTTTAGACGCACATCTCACATCTTTTAGAAAAGGTAGACGAGGAATATCCTTATCCGGAGTCCACTACCGTGCCAACTACAACAACCACAACAACTGCTCGACCTCCCGGAGTAGGTAAGTAAAAGCTAGCAAACAGCCTTAGTGATTGGTTCGAAACTCCATAGCCACAGCATCGTTGTTAAAAATTCTTATTGCCGTTATTTCAAGAGCCCTGCATGTCTTGTCCACAGCTTTCTGTGATTCCGGTGACAACAGGCTATAGAAACGGCTTCACCACACTTCTAAGTTCTACTAATGGCCGATGCAAAACGATTGAACTATCGTGCGAAGGAAGCAATGTGAGTTTATTTCTTTCTTTCCTCGTCCTGTGCCTAAAGGTGTTGTCGGAGTCAGGCAAGAAAACAAATATTTGAGTGAACACCCATCAAAGATGCGTGTAGTCGTTTCCTAGGTACATATGTTAGGGCAATGATATAGTGGCAAGTGGTGCACTATAAGGCCCGCATCGGACCGATATCTGCCTAAATTAACCAGCCTTTTAATCACTAACAAGGAAGGTCTTTCAGGGCGTGGGACGCTTTTTGAAAATGGTTTTTTGCATGGTGTAGGGGCATGAGCACTGAGTATATAACTATGGTCCATTTCCGCTAAATGGCCTTCTGAATACCAAAAAAGCAGTGAAAAAGATTTTGCTAGAAATTGCC